TTCCGAGGACCCGAAATCTTGGGATTCAGTCGGACATGAGTCTCATTTTTCCTTTTGTGTAAATCCCCGGAGGTGAAAAAACCCCCTGATATCTCTGCACACATCCAGACCAATGATATCCCAAAAGCACTGGTAAAAACCTGCGGAGAAGCCATCGGGACCAGGAGCTTTGTCCACATTAATTGAGAAAACCGCCAATTTTATCTCCAAATCTGATGGGGCAGCAATAAGTACTTGATTCATCTCAGGTGTGACCTTCGGCGTAAGCACCTCTTGGACAACACTTAAATTTCTCGTAGAGCGAGTGGAGAAGATGTCTTGATAGAAGGAAGTTATGGTCTGGGTTATCTGTTTTTCCTCAAAGAAAGCATTCCCCGTTTCATCCTCGATGACAGCAAATTTATTCAGAGCTCTTCGTCCGCGTGTGACCGAGTGAAAGAAGGTTGAGTTTTTGTCGCCACAACTTAACCACTGAATTCTGCTTCGTTGACGCCAATATTCTTCCTCCTCAGCATAAGCTTTACTCAGAACCCCTCGAAGCAAAAGAATAAGTTTTGAATCCGGGGATGAATCTGAGAGAGCAGCTTCAAGTTGTTCCTGTGAGGTCTGGATAAGCACTCTGCTGTTCTGATTTTGCAGCTTTGTCCATTCGACAATCCTAGACCTCACACAACAGATTTTAGTGAGTACTGAATCTTCTGGTTGTGTATGCCATGAGTCTTCCACCAAAGCTCTGATTTCGGGTTTCTCTCGCAGTCTACGATCAAAGCGGAAGACTCCTCTTTTCTTTTTCAGCAAGTTACTATCAAAGAGAGTGAGCACTGGTCTATGGTCAAAGCCCTCAAAACGATGGTACTCACAGCGACCCGTTGGGAACATCTCACTCCATTCTACATTAGCCATGGCCCTATCAAGTCGAGACTGAATAAAGTGGCTGTATCGCGTTCCTCTCCATGAGAGTGAGTTTCCCGAGTGTTGAAGATCCCAGATTCCATGTTGGGTCACAAAGCTTCGGAAAGAAAGAAAAGATCCCTCCCATCGTGGAGGACCTCCAACCTTTTCCGAGTTGTTTAAGACATCATTAAAATCACCAGTGATAAGCCAAGCTTCGTTTCTTTGTGCCCCTAATTCCGAGTGTTTGGACCAAAATCAGCACGTTCTTCTTGTCTAGGGGCTCCATAAACATATGAAACATAGAAGGTTTTACTATGGCTTGTGATACAAGTGTCGATGATGTTTGGAGAAGAGTATAAAACATCAAGATGAATATTATCTTTCCATGAGAGAGCGAGACCCCCACTTAGCCCATCAGGAGGGACCGTAAAATGATGGGAGTACTCAGAACCTCGGTAAGTATTAAACACAGCCTCATCTTGGTTTTTTGTCTCCATAAGGAACAAGATGTCAGGAGCGAGTTTAGAGCGAATCTCCCTGAGACGTTGAACTGTCAGAGGGTTCCTTATCCCCTGACAGTTCCAGCTCATACTTGCTAAGGAAGAGAGCTTGGAGTGGTCCGAAAATCCGTCCGATTGCAGGGATTAGCATAGTTGTTGGTCTGCCTCTTTTTGCTGCTGCTTTGCCTTTCGCCTTTGTGCCCTTTGGGTCTGCTACCTGCTTGTGTTTCAGAGAGCCTTGACCTTTTGTAATTGTTCTTCTGTAAAGACTAAAACCTTGGATTGGGCTTCTAAGGACCCGTCTGGTTGATGGTACGCGAGTAGCTTTCTTAGCAATCACTTTGCCCGCAGCTTTTGCAACGCTCGGCGGAGGCGAATCATCATCTGGGGGCAAGGGACCAAGCCTGAGCGACATATGTGTTCTGTCTTCGCTTAGAGTTCTTATAGGGGAGCCCTCTCCCTCCACTGAGTGGTGCGGCCTTTCAGTCCCAACCGTTTTAGAGCTAAAGGGCCTCATATGTTATGGTGGGGTCTGATATGGAAGAAAGTCTTCAAGATATTGTATATTTACTTCTTGGAGTCGGCCAGAATCTGAAAGGCGTTCTAAAGCTAAGCGACGTTCCCCCGAGTTGATAGATACTCGAGGTGTTTGTGGTGATGCTAGAGGACGGTTCCTGTCAGGTAGCATCGGCTCGCGTTGAGATTTTGGAGATGGAGTGTGTGAGACTTGAGATTGAACGGAGTTTGAGTGTGCTCCAACAGAATCTCCATCTCCTGAGACAGGACGCCAGTAGCCCTTTGAGACAGGATTGGCAGAGCGAATCCCTTGCGATCTAATGGAAACGTCAGAGCTTTCACGAATGGGTGGGAGCCTTTCATTCCTTTGCTGGAGGGAGCGATTACTTTCTCTGTCTTCAAAGGAAGAGTAGTGGCGAGGCTGGTAATAACCATCCCTTTTATCCCCTCTTCTATCCTCGTGGCTGCCACGATGCTCGTTGTGATGCTGGTATCGCTCACGGGAGTTGTGATCAGGGCATCCGTTATTTTTAGGTTCACCATAACCTCTGTCGTAAGGGGAGAAGCGTGAGAGTTTCATGTTATCTGCGCGTTTCCTACTTTCTGCAATACGTTCCAGAGTTCGCTTTTGAGAGATGCCCAAGTCTTGGGAGGAGGAGTCAGATGAAGTCGGTTTTTTTTGGCAGCTCCCTGCTTCATGAGAGAGGGAGAGACACGTGAAACAGTGCCTCTCCAGCTTCTCGTATTCAAGCTCAACATGTTTAGTTTCTCCAGACGATAGGCTGATTTCTAGGAATCTCTCAAGAGGTTTGAGGCCATTTACAATGACCCAGATCCTGCCATTAGTAGCTTCAGTGGTTTCTACTGGTCCAAGCGCTGTTCCAATGGCTCGAAGGGCTTTATCAGACCAATAATGCAGAGGAACACCATGGATCGTCACCCAGAACGGTAAGGTCGCTGGGAAATTATCTGAGATTATGGGTTCCCAGCGCTGGAGTAGAAACATCCACTTCTTAAACTGATATGGAACTTTAGTGAGTATAGCTTAAAGATCTTGCTCAAAATCAAATTTAAACTGGAATAGATGCGGCCCCAGAGCTCTTCCTGTAATGGAACTGACAACCTGCCAATGTCCAAGGAAGAAATCGACTAAAGCTCTTGTGTTTTGCATCGTTGCGTTCGTAACTCTTCCGATCAAAGTAAATTTGTTCTCTTCAATCAGACCGGAGCAGTCGTTTTCCGGGATCTGAATAAGAGCTCGTTTGGAGGGCCGAGAAAGGTCAGAGATACCTTTCCCTTTCTCTTGGCTTGAGAATCTGCGAGCCATAGCGTTGTAAGGAGTGGTGGCTTTCGGGAAGTTAAGTTCCACACAAAGAAACACCAACTCAAAGACCCTCAATAAGAGGTAAGATGAAGTATCAAGTAGTCAAAGTAACGTGAAAAGAGCACAGGACTGCACTCAGACAGTAGAATCCCTACAAAGCAACCAGGAAAATGAACTATCTCAACCCACGAGAAGCTCAGGGTATAGGGGGCATAGAGAATCATGTTTGTAGGCGTGGATCCGTGGTAAAAGTTTCAGTAATGCTTCAGGATCCAAAGAGAGCCCACCCAGGAAGCAGATCTGCCGGAAATTTTGAAAAGAATTTTGAAAATTCTGGTATCTGTGGTGGAAAACCAGGTAGTTGCGAAGGGAAACCGGTGTTTGGAGAGCAAAACCAGGTCTCAGTAGCAAGGAACAAGGTAGGAAACTGTCTCTTTCTCACCTCGAAAAACGTGCCTGAGAGAAAAAAACTTTCTCCTTTGTATACGGAATAGATTCTAGTAAACTAATTAGATTACTAAAGTTTATGGTCTAATGTCTAGGGTTTGCAAAATACATTAAGGTTGAGATTTATGGTGTAGAATTTGAGATTAAGTTTTGAAAATAGATTTGATATAATTTAATTTTAAAAGGTCCTATATAATTAGGGATAAAATGCCACTTCACTCTGTTAGATGCCTTTCTCATATCCGTTTTAATTGTCATAAATTTTGTTTAGCGTGATTTATAAGTCTTTAAATCATAGAATTTTCTGAGCAATTAGGATATTATCCGATATCAATTTTCCTGGTACAAAAGTCAATTGTGTCTCTAATATATAGATTTTTAATTTCTTCTGATAGCGTTCTACATTATTGCTGCGTGAGTGTTACATAGGATGAATAAAAAAACACAGGTGAAAAAGTCAGATCAAGAAAAAGACAGGAGCAAACAAAAGAATGAATAAGGTTTTATTCTCATATGAAAACGTTTTGCTTTTTGATCTGTGAGATTGTTCAGATCTCTTTGAGCTACTTTGTTTTATGTTGCGTACTAGATCATGTTGTATACGCCTGTTTTGCTTTTAAATGTTTTACTTATGATGGCATCATGTATTTAAAAGCTATCTGGGTTCTAACTTTTAGAGACTTCATAGTATTTTTTTTTTGGTCGAGGAGACTTCATAGATTTTATTTTTTTAAAACGGCTCTTTAAAACCTTTACATTCTTTTTGTAACGGCTTTAAAACCTATACACAAACTTAGTTTTTTACAGTGTATGTGTGTGTCAGAACATATGATTTTCTTCAAATTAAGGGAAGTTATAGTTTATTGAATTTCATTAATACTTTGAGCACTCTAATTTTTTTAAAACGGCTCTTTAAAACCTTTACATTCTTTTTGTAACGGCTTTAAAACCTATACACAAACTTAGTTTTTTACAGTGTATGTGTGTGTCAGAACATATGATTTTCTTCAAATTAAGGGAAGTTATAGTTTATTGAATTTCATTAATACTATGGAGTACTTCAAAGAAGGGAATGTCAACATCAAAAGACCTTCTAGGTTACGTTCTAAACCATCTACTTAATTAATGAATACTAAAACTTCCTTGTTTCATGAAATATAGTTTTACTCAAAGTATATAAGAGAAAAATAAAGTTTACTGAATCTCATTGATGTTACAAGTACTTCAGAAAAGGAGTGAATAACAACAGTAAAATATATTCTACATCATCTACTCGATGGAGAATTGTATAGTACATACTCAAGACTATTATGAGAAAACTATTCCAACAAAAACCTCTGAAGATATCTCAAGAACCCGTCAAGTAACAGAGATCCCCAGCCGTCAGAGTCTACTATCGAAAACCCAATTTTCTCAAGAACATCTTCACCGTTAAAACTTGGCTTCACGTCACCAACTAGCTTCCGGTTACACTTGTCCTCAAGTTCATCGGTGAACCACCCATGCTTTGTGTCCAACGATCTTGTAGTATCCGCTAGCGTGAAGAACTTTCCTTTGTACATGACTTGCCACGTCATCCTTACGTCGTCCTCACCGGCAGTGATAGCTGCGTTGCTTACGTCGACTTGAATCTGGAACTTGTCGTTAGGACCAAACTCAAGATCTTGACCTTTTTTGTAAACCGATGCTTTCTTTGTCTTGGTGGATGCGTGGACGATGAAGCTGAGATCAGTGAGGGATATCTTGACGGGTTCAGCGACTTGATCTATGCGGCGGCGTTTGGCGTCGGTTTCAACGGCGGAGACAAGGTGTTTGCACGAGATGTTGTCCGTGTTGTTGTTCAGTACGATCTCATAAGGAGAAGAGCGTTGTGAGGACCGCGAGGTTAAGAGAGCCTTCCATAGATCGTCAGAGGAGAAACATTCTAACCACGTTGTTGAGACGCAAGAGGCGACGGCGAGTGTCTCCGGGTCCATGTAAGGGCCAAGAACGCATAGAGCCTCCCAGGAAGGTGGACGTGGCTTGGTTTGTTCATGCTCGTCGTTGCGTTTGCGCTTCAAGGGGTTCTGTTTCATGGTGGTAGGAGATGAATAAGCACGCGAAACAACGACGGAGGCAGAGGGAGACATGTAGAAGTTAGCTGATATTTGCAATTCACGTTTTAGTTTGGAGTGGTTCTACTATGTTGTTGATGGTCGCTATTTATAGGGCTTTGCGTTAATTTAGGCTAATAACTAAAAAGGAAACTCGTTAAAACATATGGCAATTTTTATTATAAATAAATCTAAAATAATATTTGATCTTGCGATTCCTCATATCATATATTTTGATATATCTGAAAACTAACTAACTTTTGTTATCTCTCTATCTTTCCAATTTCAGAAGGAACGGATTAGACCATCAAGATATGGAAATTTTATAATTCTGATTGCTTACACTAACAAATTTAGAAAAATTTCAGATGTAACTAATTCATGAATAACTGCGTATATATTATTTGTTTAATGAAGCTTCACTATTAACATGGAACAGTGCGAGCGAGTTGCGTGAGCAACAAGTAACATGGTTCAAGTGATCGTATCTAGTTTAGTAGGGAAATTGTTTTTTTTATGCGTTAATTAGGCTAATAACTAAAAAGGAAACTCGTAAAACATATGGAAATTTTTATTATAAATAAATCCAAAATAATATTTGATCTTGCGATTTCTCATATCATATATTCTGATATATCTGAAAACTATCTTACTTTTGTTATCTCTCTATCTTTCCAATTTCAGAATGAAGGGATTAGATCATCAAGATAAAGGAAATTTATAATTCTGAATGCTAACACTAACGAATTTAGATAAATTTAAGGAAAAACACAACATACGAGGAAGAGCTACTTATGTGGTTGGGCTTTTATACAAAACTAATTTATGTATGCCGCCTTATGCCCTGCCCTACCTATAGGTATATAAATAAGCTTTCTTATTCAAGAAGTAAAGACGAGAAGACAAACAATGATAATGATATCAGATCTTCCAAGCGATTTGGAATCAGAGATACTCTCTAGGGTTCCAGCTAAGTCTCTATGGAAACTGAAAACTACTTGCAAAAGATGGTACGCTTTATTCAGAGATCCGAGGTTCGTAGAGAAGAACAAAAAGTTGGGTAAAGCAGTGAGGGAGTCGATATTACTGAGCAATGATATTGTTTATTCAATCGCCGGAGATCTACATAACAGCAGTGGGTTCGATACACGTATCGAGTTCACCGGTAAACTTAAAAGTCTAAAGGGTTCAAAGGCTTTGAACTTCTCTCATATATTTCACTGTGACGGTTTAATGTTATGCTCCACAAAGGAAAACACTAGACTTGTGGTTTGGAACCCATGTACCGGTCAATCGAGGAAGATCAAACCTAGAACTTGTTACGCACTACAAGAAAACACGGAAAATCCCGACAGAAATTCCGACCGAAAAAAATCCGTCGGTATATTCCGACGAAAACCCGACGAAAATTCGTCGGAAAATAATTTCGGAAACTTCGTCAGTTTTCCGTCGGAATATACCGACGAAATCGGTTCGTCGGTTTTCGGTCATATAATCCCGACGGAAAACCGACAAAATACCGATGAAAATATAACCGTTGAAAAAAATTGATAAATACTGACGAAATACCGACGGAAGAAGATAATCGTCAATAATCCGTCGGTATTTCGTCAGAATTTTCCGACGAAATACCGACGGATTATGTAGCCGTTAGTAACTTTTATAATTACCGACGAAATACCGACGAATTTTGAACGTTAAGGTAACCGTTGTAGTTTCTGACGGAATACCGACGGATTTTTCCGTCGGGATTTTTCCAGATTCACCTATAAATACGACTTCTCCTTCATTCATTCAAATCACAACAAACCAATATAAATCATGGGTACTCCTTATAATTTTCGTTCTTGGATAGATCAACCTCATATGGATCCAAATACAAGTTTACTTACTGAAGAATATGCACGTGGTATTCAAGAATTCATGGCGGTGGCTCAAAGTCAACCGGAAGCAAGAACAAGTAAGTATTTATTATGTCCATGCTCATCTTGTAAGAATAATATTCGTGTCAAAAGAATGGAAGTATGGAATCATTTATATCTGAAAGGGTTTACACGTGGTTATAAGATTTGGTATCTTCATGGAGAAAGATTTGAGTATGGTAGTAGTAGCGAACCTCAAACTGCCGATAGGTTAGATGAACCTAGCACGAATGTAGATTTTGGGGTAGGGACTGTTCAGATGGTATATGATGCATATAGAGAAAATTTACCGTCGGGTGAAGAGGAAGGAGATAGACGAGAACAACCCAATTTAGAAAATTGGCCGTCGGGTGAAGAGGAAGGAGATATACGAGAACAACCCAATTTAGAAGCCAGAAGATTTTTTGAAATGTTAGATGCAGCTAAGCAGCCATTGTATCAAGGATGTAGAGATGGGCATTCAGCTTTATCATCTGCAAGTCGATTGATGGCGCTAAAGACTGACTATAATTTGGCTGAAGAATGTATGGATGCGATTGCAGATTTTGTTAGGGATGTTCTACCTGAAGATAATCTTTCACCTGGTTCATATTATGAGGTACAAAAATTGGTCGCTGGTCTTGGCTTACCATATCAGGTGATAGATGTATGTATTGATAACTGCATGATTTACTGGAGAGCAGATGAGAACCGGGAGATATGTAAATTCTGTCGAAAACCTCGTTATCAGGATACGAGTGGAAGAGTTCGGGTGCCATACAAACGAATGTGGTATTTGCCTTTGACTGAAAGATTGAAGAGGTTATATCAGTCAGAACGAACAGCAGCACCAATGAGATGGCATGGAGAGCACTCAACAAATGGTGAGATAACACATCCTTCCGATGCAGAGGCGTGGAAGCATTTTCAGTCAACATATCCAGAATTTGCATCGGAGGTAAGAAATGTGTATCTTGCACTATGCACAGATGGTTTCAGCCCATTTGGAAAACATGGAAGACAATATTCATTGTGGCCGGTAATCGTGACACCTTACAACTTACCACCACATCTATGTATGCGACGAGAGTTTTTGTTCCTCTCAATTCTCGTTCCCGGGCCAGATCATCCTAAGAGATCACTGGATGTGTTTCTTCAGCCATTGATACATGAGTTGCAGTTATTATGGGAGCACGGTGTTCATACATACGATGTTTCACGGAAGGAAAATTTTCAGATGCGAGCAGTACTTATGTGGACAATAAGTGATTTTCCAGCATATGGTATGTTATCTGGATGGACCACGCATGGAAGGCTCTCATGTCCGACACTACACCAAGCGTATCAATGAGTGGAAGCAAAAGTGGGAGATTGGCAAGGTACCGAAGCACATGAACCCAACCGTTTGGAATGATTTGTTGGCTCATTGGGCGAGAGATGATACAAAGTCTATGTCACAAACCAACTCGGGTAATCGGTGTAGTAAGCGTGGCGGGAAAGGGGCTTTTGTCCATAACTTAGGAGCGACGAGTATAGCGACCCGAGCACTTCAGCTAGTAAGTATTTTGATTTTTAATTTCTTATTAATTTTATAATACATGTTACTAATTTTTATTGTTTTTAGATGAAGGAAAACGGCGGGGTTCCCGTCGATGATACTAAGTTGTTGAGGTCCGCCTACACCAACAAAAAAACTGGCGAGATTCAGGATCCAGTTATCAAGGAGGTACTCCAGCTCGTGGAGAGTCGAAAAGAAGAGATCATTTCCACTCAGGCTTCTATGTGTGAAGACGGATCTTGCGCTTCTTCCAACACCATAACCGTAGAGCAACTCAACAATCTTGTTCTCGAGGTACATCCTAATTTTTTTTGGAATTAATATGTGTGAATATATGTTGTGATTGTTATTCTAGCTTATATTATTTTTCATTCCGCAGGCGGTTCCTAAGAAGAAAGGCCGTTATGTTGGGTTGGGTCGTCCAATTGGAGGGACTTCTTCTTCTTCAGCTCAAGTATACCCACCCGTTGATGACCTTATGGAGCAGATCAAGACCAAAGATTTGGAGATTGCGTTCCTGAAGAATGACAATGCTGAAATCCGGGTTGAGCTTCAGCAAAACAAGACAGCGTTGGACGATAACATAGCTCTGACACAAAGCTTGTTGAAGAAGTTTCAGAACCGCTTTGGTGAAGACTTTTAGTTGTTTTATATTTAAAATCTTTTGTATAACTTTTATGTATAACTTTTATGTATAATTTTAAATTACTTATGTTTTTAAATTTTTAATTAGCATTTCATTTTACATTTTAATTTATTTTTCCAATTTTAATTTTTTTTATAATAAAAATATTTTTCCGACAGGGAAAAACCGTCGGTAAATATTAATATACCGACGAAAAGGTTTGTCGGAATTTTCACAACATCCCGACGGCAACTGTCCGTCGGATTTATTACAATTTTCCGACGACTTGTGTCCGTCGGTTTTATGCAATTTCCCGACGGATCCGTCCCCGTCGGTATTTCTCCTAAATACCGACGGCCTCTGTCCGTCGGTTTAATACAATTTTCCGACGGACATCTTCCGTCGGAATGTTTTGTGAATCCCGATGGAAATTTTTTGTCGGTGTCCCGTCGGGTATTAGCTACATACCGACGACTACGACACCGGTCGGTTTTTAGTTTTCCGACGAACATTTCGTCAGTATGGCGTCGGGATTATGGTCGTCGGTATTCTGTCGGAAGTTTCTGACGAATTACCGACGAATATATTTTTACCGACGAAATGATACCGACGGCTTTTTTCGTCAGGAAATTGTCGGAATTCATGTTTTCTGACCGAATTCCGACGATTTTTTCCGTCGGTATCCGGCAGTTTTCTTGTAGTGACGGTAAATATGATACCTTTGCTTTAGGATACACCAGATGGTCTTCTTCTTCTTCGGTCCATTGCTACAAAATCCTGAGGTGTTTTTATCGTGAAAACGACCAGAAAATGTGGGTTCCTCAGTATGAGATCTATGAGCTTTGCTCTGATTCTTGGAGGGTTCTTGATTCCGTCACTCGTAACTACTCCGTATACGGCAATGGCATGTCTCTGAAAGGGGACACTTACTTTGTTGCTCAAGGTGAAGAAACTAGCGCTTTCTTGATGAAGTTTGATTTCACAACAGAGAGATTTGTGCGACTCCCTCTTCTTTTTTATCTTCGTGATGCGGCGCTTTCAGTTGTTAGGGATGAAAAGCTCTCGTTGTTATATCTTGATGACTGGTCAGATGTGATGAGAATATGTGTGAGCAGTAAGTTTGATGAGGAGTCCAAAGACCTGTCGTGGAGGAGCGATTTTGTCTTGGAAATAGATTTTGAAAAATTTGACTTGGCTGTCGAAAGCTTCTTGTTGGACGAGGAGAATAAAGTGGTAATATGTTGTGATAAAGACACGGAGGATGAAGGTAAGACAAGAATCTGTATTGTTGGAGAGAATATGGCTAAACAAGTTTATAAAGAATCTGTAAAGGAATCTTGTCTCGAGTGGCCACTTGTCATCATCACATATGTTCCAAGCTTGGTTAGCATTCAGAAAAATACACCTAAGAGGGGAAGGAAACGGAGGTTAATTCGCCTTTAAATGAATGATTTTTTTTCTTCTGGTTTATATCTACTTGGCGGATGCTTAATAATGATTTTTTTGTTCCTCTTTTTTCTTTTCTTTTCTTTTTTGCTTTTGTGTATTGGTCCTTTGTTGAAATATTATTCTGCTTATACCCATGTCCTGTGTTTTAAATGGCGCTCCAAGTGTAGACGGTTAGTCATATACAACACTAATATATATACTGTAGTCAGCTATACCAAAGTCATAAACACACAAATATAGTCAGCTAACTAGTTGTGTTTCAAAAAATAAAAAAAAAATAAAAAAAAAGTCAGCTAACTAGTTATGCTAATACACACTAATATAGGTAGCTTTGTAAACATTGATAAAATCCAAAATACCAAAACAAAGACCTTGAAAGCTAGATTTAATTGCTCTAATCCAAAACACCTAGCACACTCTTAGAGCATCCGCAACAATGGTTCTTAGGGAAAATCCTTAGGGAAAAAGAAAAAGGGGCATTTCGGATTATATAAAAATATTTCAGATTTTTTCTTTAAAAAAAACTGACCATTCATGGGCCGCCACGTGGGCAGTGGAGCCCGCGAATAGTGTAAGGATCAATCCTTAAATAAATATTTTAAAGATATAATCTTTAACTGTTTATGGGACCCACTGATTATAAAATAAATATTTCTTTAAGGATTCTTCCTAAGGACCTGTGGTTGCGGGTGCTCTAAGGCCATCTTTAACGCACGGGATTCTTAAAAGAAATTTTAGTTTTTTTATTTTTAGCCTGAAAAATATTAATAGCAGTTTGGGCCTACAAAATAATATAATAATCGATCACTAATTCATAATTTTTCTTATTGGTCCTACGGTTTTTTGCTTCTTTTTGCAGGGTCCACATGCTAATAATCCCTTTAAGGATCCTGCGTTAAAGATGACCTAAGGACCTTAGCATCATGTTGTAAGGATCTTAGCTTAAAAGGGTCGTCAAAGTAGTTGCAATAGGGTTTCCAAGTTATTTTAAGGGTTCAGTCAAAGTAGTGTCTAAACAGGAAACTAGAAGGCGCGCCTTTGAAGCGCATTAGGCGTCGTATCCCCTATATATTAATTGAGAAACATTTGAAAAATTGTAACCTCAATTTTGTAATAATTAAAAAAGAGCTCATGCTTACGTGTCACTCAATTAGGTAGTTAATTACATTCAATTGAAAAATAAGTAGGTCCACATTCGACTTTTATATGTCGCTAGATATATTTGTTGGTCAAACTATATGATATGATATTTATGATAGAATCATTTATGATTGTCCTGCTAGATATAATTACTATTTTATTTTATTTCCTTAAATAAAAGCTACGGAATTACCATAAATGACATATATATATGACAATTAATGTTTCTAATAATAAATATTTGATAACAATTTGTATCTCCTCCATCATTTTTCTTTAATTTTATATTATTAAAATAATTCAAACAATCAAATTAGATATAAAATTAAACTTTAGATTTTTTTCGTATATGTTATATTTTGAATTTAAAAAAAAACAAGAATAAATGACTAAAACTATTAAAATTATTATGTAAAAAATTAATGATCAATAGTTTAACATTTTTATCATAAAAAGATACACATGATTTTAAAACCATACTAGATTTTGACCCGCGCAACCGCGCGGGTGTTTGTTTTCGTTTATAGTTATATAAACATTTTGTTTTCACTTGTAAATTGGTATATATTATAGTAATCACATATTTACGATATGTATAGTAAATGTTTTTTCAAACATAATAATATTATATAATAAGTGTTTTAATCAAATAGATTATTTTAAATTTTCTATATTATACATGACTTTCAAACATGTGTTTGTTTCTTCTTCTATATTTTATTGTTTGTTAGATTAGTATTTCATTTTTAGATAAAGTAATATAAATAGAGCTTGATTAAATATTAGTGTAATTTAATTTGCAAAGATAATATAAACTTCGAAGAATTTTTTGCTCAAAACTAAACTTATAGCTTCATAAATTAATATTATAAAAAGTTTATTAAAAAGGAACTTTTTAAACAATTTCTTTTTTTAAAACAATACAATTTTAAAATTTTACATCGAAATAAATTTATCTAATATATATAACGTGTAAATTTTGTTAAGGTATATAAATATTACATATTAATAATCTGTGATTTTTGTTAATATATTCTGGATGCATTTAACTATTATTGACATATTTCCTTATAAATAATAGAAGATTCCTAAATTTATATTTATTGACATATTTTGTGTGACTAAGTTGGAAGGTGTGGGGTAATTTACCAAAACAAAATTGTTAAGCACATTATAAGATATAATAATGATAATATTATTAGAGAGTTAATGTAACATAACTTTCTAGTAACAGTCTATTTTTTAAAAAAATCACACATGAAATCAAGTCATGACTTCTGTTTTAATATATAAGATGAGTAAAAAGTATCATTCAATAATAAAAAATATATATATATATATATATCCCCTATATATTAATTGAGAAACATTTGAAAAATTGTAACCTCAATTTTGTAATAATTAAAAAAGAGCTCATGCTTACGTCTCACTCAATTAGGTAGTCAATTACATTCAATTGAAAAATAAGTAGGTCCACATTCGATTTTTATATGTCGCTAGATATATTTGTTGGTCAAACTATATGATATGATATTTGATAGAAGCATTTCTGATTGTCCTGCTAGATATTACTATTTTATTTTCTTTCCTTAAATAAAAGCTACGGAATTACCATAAATGACATATATATATAAATATATATATATATATATATATGACAATTAATGTTTCTAATAATAAATATTTGATAACAATTTGTATATCCTCCATCATTTTTCTTTAATTTTATATTATTAAAATAATTCAAACAATCAAATTAGATATAAAATTAAACTTTAGATTTTTTCGTATATGTTATATTTTGAATTTAAAAAAAAACAAGAATAAATGACTAAAACTATTAAAATTATTATGTAAAAAATTAATGATCAATAGTTTAACATTTTTATTATAAAAAGATACACATGATTTTAAAACCATATGAGTAAAAAGTATCATTCAATAATAAAAAATATACATATATAGATTAAACTATATACGATATAAGATTACATACTTATTTTAATTTCAAAAATTTCAAAGAATTTTCAAAAACATTTATAAATTATAAACGTATTAAAATTTTCACACTGAAAATTATTGTTATTAATGATTTAAATATATCAGTTCTTTTTTTTTAATTCTCTATTTTTTAAAGATATTAACACAATCGATAATATGGTTATTTTTGGTATATACCATACAAACCGAATGTATGTGATTTTATAAAAACTGTAAGATTTGGATATGGTTTGATTTATAACCGATTAAACTGAAACATGTAAATATGTATATCTATTTGTTACATGAGTTGAACTATTATTATGATTTGTAAATCACTTGAATCACTTGAAATATAATTAACTAACAATTTAATATAACTGTTGCTTCTTATTTTCTTCGTCTTTTTATCATTTTTTTTAAATAAAAACTAAATTGAAGTAACAATTATAAATTTGATGGACAACAATTAGTTGAAATTCTTTACAATTTTTTTTTAATCTTTAAACAAACAGAGTTGTGTTCAATCGAATACATATTAATTTGATGAACACTAAATATGGAAAAATATAAAAACTTTTCTTTCATGCTTCTGTTTTGTTTTTATTTTTATTTTCAAAATTTAGAGATTTGATATTAATTCTAGATTTGATCATTTTATTAGATCATAGCAGCCTTTTGTTTTTTATTCTTTTAGTTAAATATATAATATTTTTTTTTTAGTAAATGACTTTTTGACAATATGACTCTAAATATGATCATATTATTTATTTTTATAATATATAATATGATTTCAAACTAAATAATGATGTATTTTGGTATAAAATTGAATAAACTGAAAACCAATATATAAACCAAATCAAACTGAAGTAAATATGGATTTAGAATAGTAGTTATATTTTAATAACCAAA